TGCTTACAGGGCCTGCGGGCCTCCCGCCTGAAGCCTCTGGTGAGGGCCCGGGAGTGGAAGGGATGGGGTGGCTGGGAGGGAGCCTGCGGGGACCTCTTGTCCCGTGATGCTCTGTTGCCCCTGGCCTGTCCCACTTCCCCTTAACCTCCCTTGGGTGGGCAGGCAAGACTCCTCCCCACCCCCTGTACTCTTTAGCCAACCTGCATGCTGAAAGGGGTACGGATGGGGTCTGGGGAGGCGTGGAGGGTGGAGGAGTTGGCAGCTGGGCCTGAAGAAGAGCCTCGGCCGCAGTTGAGTCACTGCCCACATCTGTCCTGTGCAGCTCCCACGGCTGGCAGCCTTTCTCAACAGCATGAAGCCTCGGTGAGGACACTTCCTGTGCCCAGGGGCTGCCTGCCTTCCCCTAGCCCGGGTCTGGGTCCAGGTGGTTTCTAATGGGAAGACTCAGGGAAGTAGCTTCTGAGACTGAAAGTGGCCCGGGCAGGGGCAAGCTCTATGCCCCGGAGTGACCTTCCAGGACTGGCTGGAGGGCAAGGGCGGGGCAGAGGGCCACAGGTTGGGAGAGGGTGAGGGGAGAGGGGGTGACCTGACCTGGAAGACACATATAGAAAGGACAAGGGCAGAGCTGGCCTGGGCTGGGGGCAGGCAGGGTGGGGAGGCAGGGGGACCTGGGGGAGAGAGGAGCTGTTGCTCTTAGAGGTCTGGACCGCCTGAGCCTCGCCGGGTCCTCTCTCCATCTCAGTGTTGCAGGCTGGAAGAGCAGGGCAGAGGTTGCTCTGTTTCAGGCCCCGACACCCTGTGGACTCACTTTCCTGCACTCAGACCTTGGGCAGCCCCGGCCCTGCCTGTGTCCTGAGGGTAGTGAGGAGGGAGGCCAGGGCACGTCCTGCCGCTGCTGTGCAGTCCCTCAGTGACCCAGCCCCAGCCCCAGCCCTTCTTGAGGCCTGCTGCTTTCACTGGACAGCAGGGCTCTGGACTCCTGCCCGCTCAGCGCTCCCTTGGGGTAGTGAAGGGTCCTGCAGGAGTGAGGTCTGAGTGTTAGGAGTAGGGCCTCGGTCATCACTACCCCTGTGGCCGTGACCATCACTGCTGGTGACCATTGCCTCCATCCAGGTCGGCTAGAAAGCTCTGGGAGTTGCAGCACGAGATCGAGGTGAGACCCGAGCTCCCAGACTGCAGTAGGGTGCTGGGGGAGGGTGGAGGTGGGGAAGGCACCTGCCCCTGCTCCCACTGGGCTCCTGGAGTGGCCTGGCATTGTTCATTGCCAGTCAGGCCCGGCTGTCCAGCCCTTATTTGCCCAAATGCTGTACTGAAGGGCTGGGTCCTGTCCGCTGGCCCCCTGCGGCCCCCTGTGCCCGGGCACGGTGATTACCTTGGCTGGCAGCATCTGCAGTTCATGTAGGAGCTGGGACAACTGCTGCCACCCATGGCGTAGCACCACTGCCTGCCCAGAGGGCCTGCGTCCCCTCGTGGTACAGCCCACGTCTGGGACAGGTGCTGGGATGGAGCCGCCTCAGCCCATAGCCCCTCACCGGAGGGCAGGGTGGGCTGGGCGGTCGCCTCATTGGGCTGTCCTGCCAGGTGTACCGCAACACCGTCATTGCCCAGTGGAAGGCTCTGGACCTGGACGTGCTGTTGACCCCCATGCTGGGCCCTGCCCTGGATTTGAACAGCCCAGGCAAGGCCACAGGTGAGGCCTGTGATCCCCCCACACCCCTGCCTCCCCAGCCATGAGCTCAGCCCTGTTCCCTGCAGGGAAGAAGAGGGAGGCCTCCACCTTTGTGGGGTTCAGTCTGGCTGGCAGGAGGAATGTGAATCTCATGGGATACCAGGAGGGACTGAGCTCCCTGCCTTCAGACTATTCAAGTCAGGGGTCTGGAGTTACAGTCTGTAGTTCTAGGAGGTGACATTTGAAGTCTAGGTGGGATTTAGATAAGCCAAGAGAATAACAATAGTTAGGCCAGGGAAAGCTATGTGGGCCAGGACACAGGACGCATCGGCTGGCCAGAACTGGCCCCAGAGGACAGATGTGGCACAAGGGGCCCTGGTCGGGGCGGGCCAGCGTGCTGAGAGAGGCAGACCCACCCAGCAGGAGGGTGGGGAGCCGTGGATAACTGGAGCAGCCTCAGCCTGAATCTGCACTCCTGGGCTCGTCCCTCCAGCCTCAGCCTGGGAGAGAGCCTTTCCCTGGCTGTGGAAGTGAGCTGCCATTCGTGCAGTGTGTGTGTGTGGGGGGGAGACGACAGGCCGGGCGAGGACAGTCAGCACAGCGGGTCCCAGGGCCTGCTTTAGCCACTTGGGGTGTGTTTCAGGGGCCGTCAGCTACACTCTACTCTACAACTGCCTGGACTTCCCCGCGGGGGTGGTACCTGTCACCACCGTCACCGCCGCAGACGAGGCCCGGATGGAGCACTACCGGGGCTACTTTGGGGATATATGGGACAAGGTGCTGCGGCAGGTGAGGCGTCCCTCCCACCTCCAGAACTCACCCGGCCCCAGCCGCTGCAGAGCAGTGGGGTCAGCACGTGCCATCCTCGCCAGCCTTTCTTAAACAAGATCTGGAAGGCTGTGGCCCAGGCCAGCCGAAGGCCTGGTGGTTGAGGTGGCTGGCTCCCACGTGGCCATCTGTGGTTCAAGTCCCAGCCCTGGCTGCTTAAGAAACATGCCAAGCGCATGTGTGTGTGCTCGAAATCCCGAGAGGAGGGAGAGATGGCGGAGAAGGGATGGCGTTGTGACCGTGTCCCCTGGGGGATGCTTTTTCCTCTCCTTGTCTCTGTGTCTCTCTCTGGAGAGTGTACACACCCGGTAGCCCTGCTTTGCTGCGTCCCCTCCCAGCTGGGCAGGCCTTGGACCAGGGCGGAATCTTGCCTCCTGCCCCTGTCCTGACGCCTGTGTCCCTGCAGGCCGTGAGGAACAGCGTGGGGCTGCCGGTGGCCGTGCAGTGCGTGGCTCTGCCCTGGCAAGAGGAGCTGTGTCTGCGGTTCATGCGGGAGGTGGAGCGGCTGATGACCCCTGGAAACCCGCCATCCTGAGGGCCGCCTGCTCACCCAGCTCCTGAGGACCCGAGACCCACGTGCCACCCGGCCTGGCCTAACTGGGGCACGACAATGGCCGAGAGGAAGCACTGAGCATGGGGGAGGCTTCCACACCCCCTCCCAGCCCCCTGTAAGAAGCGTGGATCCCCCAAGTCTGGACCTTGCTCCCCGCTCTGGTCCCCCTCTGCCCCATCCCCAGCCCCCATGTGGCAGCCAGTGGATGTGACAGGGCCACGGCCCACTAACAGTCAAGAAACAGCTGCTGGTCTGTGTGCTTTCTGGGCGGCATCGTGACGGCACAGGCCTGGTGGCCTTCCGGAGCCAGGCTCCTACATGTCTGCTGCTGTGCAGCCTCCCTGGTGTCCCTCGCCCACAGGGTGAGCATGGGCTTGTGCCCCCCACACTTCACCCTTGCCCTTCCTCTCATACTAACTGCGCCCAGCTTGCCAGATGCTGTCCTCTGTCTCCCCTCCACTCCTGCACCATCAGCCTTCAAGGTCCCAGCTCAAGCCTCCTCTCCTTGTCCTGAGCCCTGGAGTGTGTGGGCTGTGTCCTCCCATCTGGGTGTGTCTACCTGCCTCAGCATGCTGGCTCGCCCCAGTGGCAGGGGCCCTGGGCCACATCTGTCCTCTGTGACCTGCACAGGGCTGGGCACAGGGCACCCGTGGAGGCACCCAAGTTAGGCTGGGGGCTGGAGCGTTGGGCTGAGCTGGTGCTGTTGAGCAGGGAGCCCACGGGCTAGGGGAGGCAGGCAGAGGCCAAAGGATCTGGCAGAGTGCCTGGGGATTGCAAGGACCTGGCTTGCTCCGGGAAGGCCTCCTGAAGGAGGTGGACCTGTGTTGAGTCTAGAAAGATCTCAGAGGCTGAGCTGGGGGATGCGGACATCCCAGAGAAGGGGCAGTACTCCCAAAGACCCAGGTGGGTTTGGTTAATGGCAGGCATGTTGAATGAGCACCGGAGAAGCAGGGCTGTAGGTGAAGCTAGATCAATGCCATCTTGGGCAGCCAGGTCAAGAACTTGGATTCTGTCTTGAGGGTGGTGGGTGTTGTTGGGAGTAGACTCAAGGGGCAAAGCTTGATGAGGAGAAGGCTGCTCTTGATCCCTAACCTGGGGAAGGATCTGAGGCCTCGGCAGAGGCCCAGGGATGGAGATGGCTGTTTGGGAACTGACGGTAGGATAAACCGAGCTGTCTCAGCTCAGAGTCTCACCCCCATCCGGTCTGCCAACCTGCCTCTTGCTGGACTGCGTCTCCTGGCAGTAGAAGTCTGAATGGTCTGCGGAAGTCTTTGGAAGTTTCTTGGCCCCCCCTTGCAGAGTCCCTCACCCTTCCCTGGTTCTAGCCCTCACTCTGCTGCTGGCTGGGAAGATGCTTTAGCCCTCCGGGCAGGGCAGGCTCCAGCTTCCCCCGGATCTATTTCAAATTCTTTCTAGTGTTCTCTTCAGACTTTCCCCTCCACCCTGAGTCTCCTACTCTTCTGGAAGAACCTTTTCTTCCAGGTGCCACTTCCTGGCCCTGCCTTGGTGGGACTGGTTTTAGGGAGAACAGGTGGCCCTATGTCCTGAGGCAGATCCGAGGGCCCGGCCCACATGGGGACACCTAGATTGGGACAGCGAGGCAGATGCTGCACTGTGCCCTGATTCCTCACAGCTGCTGTCGTAATTTTCCCCCTATTGGTCCAGACTGTTCCCTAATGGCCTGCCATCCACCCCGGCTTCTCCCTCCTGCCCCATTTCTCTCTTGGTTGCCGACACCCTTGTGCTTTCAGACGGAGGCTGCAGGGTCACGGCCCTGCTCCTCCCCGCCTTCACTAGGTCGTTGATTCAGCCTGCGAGCCTGCGAGCCTCAGCCATGTCCAGTCCTCTGCTGAGTGGTGCTGGAGACCGAGCCAAACCAAGCCTGGCTCCCAACCCTGAGAGACCTCAGCTTCTGGGGGTGGGGTCATGGACACAAACACACCTGCCACCCCTAGAGATCAGGATTGGGAGAGGCAGTCACTGGGCCTGTGTTGAGTGTAGAAGGATCCCAGAGGCTGAGCTGGGGCATGCGGACATCCTGGAGAAGGGGTAGTACGCCCAAGACGCAGGTGGGTTCGGTTAATGGCAGGCATGTTGAGTGGGCACCGGAGGAGCAGGGCCCCCGTCTCCTCTCCTCCACTGTGCTGGTCCAGCTGCCTGCCTCCCATCCGGGCACTGCAGTAACTTCCCGTCTGGGCCTCTGCTTCCCTCCTGCCCGCCCCCGGCCATCCTCCATCCAGCGGCCAGAGTGAGCCTTTAAAGCAGCAAATCAGATCGAGACCTTCCAACAGCTCCCTGTCCCACCTAGAGTGGAACCCAGTCTCCCGTGTCTGGCAAAGCCCTGGGTGCCGTGGCCCTCGTCGACCTCCACGGCCTCAGCCTGGCCCCCTCTTCCCCTTGCTCCCTGTGCACCAGCCACGCGAACGTGTTCGGTTCCTTGATCATCTCAAACCAGTCCTTGCTCCAGAGCTTTCGTGGTAGCCGCTCCCCATGTTTGGGGCACTTGGGCCAGTCTCACCTTCCCTGATCACCCACTTGCAAAACCACCTTCCCTGTCCCTTGACACGGCACCCATTGTTCTTTGTCACCACCCAAAATCATTGCTGTCTTGGGTCTCCTCCACTAACATGTAAGCTTCCCGAGAGCCGTCCTTGGTCTTATTCCTCACTGCATTCTTGCACGTGGAATGGTGCTCTGAAGGTGCGTGATTGACCCGCGAACGTGAAGTGACCACCTGCTCGGGGCCAGGCACCGGGTTGGGGGCTGGGACTACAGGGGTGAATGAGACAGACTCGGTTTTCTGTCCTCACAGTGTGTACATTCTGGAGGGTATTTGTTGAATGGGGGGCGGGGGGCAGGTGTGCTGGCGAAGACCCCTGTGTATGTAATGTGCGGAGTAGTCAGGTGACTTGGTGGGGAAAAGCGGGCAAGGGCAACCTGAACCGCGTCACTGATCACCGCTATGAGCCGTCACCCTTCTGGACACTCCTCAGCTACTGGGTTATTTACTCCTCCTTTGAACTCTATTATAGGTATTTTGGTCCCCATTTTACCAAAAGTTTCACATACTTGCCCAGGGGAATTGGAATTGACTCCTGGGTTAGTCTAGGTCAGCGCCCGCGTGAGCTGTCTGGTGTCCCATGACGCTGTGGCACAGCGGGTGTGTACAGCAACCAGGGGAGTGCGAGAAGTCAGCGGCCACTTGCCTTCCCGACCGCCAGTCTGCTGGGCTCCAGGGCGAAGATGCAGCTGCTGTGCGTTTCACGGCCTTTCCCCTCCTCAGTGGGTCCTCGCCACAGCTCTCACCGGGCCTCCGCTGCCTCTGGACCGGCTGTCCCCAAGTGTCCTTCACTGGCAGGTGACCACGCTTAAAGTCTTGAGCGTCCCTCGTGCCAAGTGCAGACTCCGTGCTCTGACCTCCCTGTGTGACCCTGCTGCTGGCTGCCGGGCTCCTCTCCTCCCTTCCCGAGGGCCTCGTCCCACCATTGGCCTGCAGGCGGGATCTGGATATGGCACACGCCTCCCACCTCCATGCCCTTTGCTCACTGAGCCTGCCGTGCCCGGCGTGTTCTTCCCCCGCCTCCACCTACGGAACACCCACTCATCCGAGGCAAGGGTGATAGTCCTCTCAGCCCATCAGGGGGCTGTGCTCTTCTGCGCCTGCTCCGAAGCAGGGGCTGCGTCTTTGTAGTAGCGTGCAGCACCCTTTAGGCTGTGGAGCTGGTAACCTGTGATCGCACGGGGAAAACGGCCATTATCCTTTCCATTATGTACGTGAGGCCCCCGAAGTTCAGAGAAGGCTGGTTTGTCTGAGGCCGATCCGTGTGAGGATGTCAACACTCGGTCTTGTAATGAAGGCAGGAAGAAGGAAAGTACACGAAGCTTGGGGTCGGGCATGTGGGTCTCAAACCTCTGTACTTTCCTCCTTTGTACTGTCACCCCCTGGGGAGATGGCCATGCCACAATCCCTTCTCCATTCTCTCAGGATCTTGGGCGAGCACACACACATGTGCCCGGCCTGATTTTTAAGCCACTGGGTCTGGGACTCAAACCACAGTTGGCATGTGGGAGTCCAGCGACGTAAACGCTATGCCATCTGCTGGCCCCGCCGTTAGTTCTCTTAAGGGCTACTCACCCCAAGTCTATAGTAAACCTACAGCTTTCATCTGGTAGGCAGATCCTCTTCCACCCTCTTCCCCCAGCCCCTACCTTCACCCCTCCTGCCCAAGCATCCCTCCCTCCATCCAAGGCTGAATTCCTCCCACAGTGTGTTCTAATCAGAAATAGTCCCAGCCTGGGGACCAGCAGTTGGTGTAATGGCTATGTCGCTGAACTCCCATGTAGTCGAGTGTGGTTCAAGTCCCGGACCAGGTGACTTAAACTCCCACCGGGGGTGTGTGTGTGTGTGTGCCCAAGATCCTGAGAGGAGAATGGAAGAGAAGGGATTGTGGCGTGGCCATCTCCCTAGGGGTGATTTCTTGCTTTCTGTCTCTCTGTCTCTCTGTCTTTCTGGCAAGCGCACGCCCTATAGCAAAAACCTCTAAAAAAAAAAAAGAGAAAGAAATAGTCCCAGCCTGGATGGAGTTTCATTCCACTAGCAAACAGACATCAAATGCATGATTACTCAGAAAGACTTGCTAGGATCCCTGGTTATGATGCAAACAAACTGAGACCCGATCGGGCCCAGGGTGTATATGCATGAGAGTGTATCAGGGAATGCTTCCTGGAGGAAGTGATATTCAAGCTCAGAACTGCAGTGTCACACTAGCCATGGAACAAGAGTATTTCAAGCAGCCAACAGCTTGAAAGGTTAGAACCTGAAAGGTTAGAACCATGGACAGCCAGTGTAGACATTTGAGAAGTTTGACTGGGAAGAGGAGAAGGCAGGGATAAAGTGAGGCTAGAAGCTACGAAGGCTGTAAATTGGAGAGAATCCTTTCCTTCTCCTAGAAAGGAACCAACAGAGTTATGCAGAGAGGAGACAAAGAAAGGCAGGAATGGAAGACAGTCTCACCATCCTACCTTCCCCGACGACATACTGAGCACCAACCCCATGCCAGGCACTTTGAGAAGGGCTGACAAGGTGCTTACTTTTCTGGAGCCTGTTTTCTAGGGAAGCAGGCAGGACATGAAGAAATAAGATTGCAGGCAACGCTAAGTGTGGTGAGAGAAGTGGGCGATGTGGTAAGGGAGGAGTGCAGCTCCAGAACGGGTGAGGTAACCAGCCGGCCGAGGAGCTGCAGGGTGTGGGCCCTACCGGGGGCTGGCGGAGCTGAGGACATCAAGGGCGGGGAGTTCATTGCAGACGAGTGGGCTGGGGAGGGAGAAGCAGAAGGCTGGAGGAGGCTGGTTCCAGGGGCGCCATGGAGGTGGCAGAGGCTGGATGAAGGCAGGTTGTACTCACGTCACATTTGTTCCCGAACGGCCTTTGGGGCTCAGACAGCTCTCCCAGCCACAGGCCGGGGTCCTTCCCACCCAGAGCCGCTGCTTCTCCTGACTTCTGAGTCTCGAGGTCAGTGGCACTGTCCTCCTGATCCCCTGGACCTCAGCCTTGGTTATGCCTAACCCTTCCTCCCCTGAGACAGTGTCCTTCAGACGCAGGACTGGAACATGTGAGAGGAGTGAAGGGTGGCTGTCTCCTGGAGCTTTCCTGCTCTTCAGGAAGTCACCTCTCCTGCCCTCATGCCCCCACCCACCCACAATTCCTTCAGGGGAGGCTGGAAGCCCAGGGCCAGAGCCTGGCCTTTCTTTGGGAGTCAGGAGTGGAAAGCCCAGTAGGACGGCAAGGTTGAGTGAGGGCTGAGCTGCCTCAGTCTCCCTAGAACCCCAAGAGCCCCACCTGTCCCCTCGTGCTCCTTCCCCTCCCCCCTGCCTGGGCCCTAGCTGCCTCTCAGAATGTCCTCTGGACACACAGCACCAGGGCAGTCCACCCCCACATGACTGCTGACGCAGAACAAAAGGCGTTGGCAAATCCTTCAGTCCACCCCATCTGGAACTCCCAAGGGCCAGCCCAGTGTGCTGGTGGGGTATCTGAGGGGTGGAATAGGTGAGAGAAGGAGGTGAAGGAGGTGAAGGGTGTGGGTCAGAGCTGCAGGCTTGAGTCCCTCCTCAGGCACATCTTTGCTGAAGACTTTTCCTCTGTGTGCCCAAGATATAGGGGTCTTTATCCCCAGGCAGTCCAGGCAGGGATAAGAAGGGGCTGGGAGGCCTTGGGTTATGCCACGCCCAGGGCCTGGCCCTGCCCCCAGGTGCCGAGGTATAGGTGGGTGCTCTGACAGCGCTGCTGACAAAATAGGCAGGACAGACTCCCCGGGACACAGATGCCTGCCTTAGCTCTGATGTCTTACCCCATGGTGACGTTCTTCACGCTGAGCGTGGTGGGGGCTGCCCTGCTGGTGGTTTCCCTCCTCCTCCAGTGGTATAGCCCGGCACGGAACAAGATCCCTGGGGCCCAGAAACGCCGGCAGGTGGCGCTGCAACGGATGGAGGCCCTGATACAGCGTCTCCGGGAGCAGGTGAGCCGACATCTGTCAGCCCCGGGAGAGCCTTGGCCCTCAATCTCAGTAGGCAGACCCCTCCCCTGGCCCCATCCTCTTTGGAAGACAGGAGTCTGGGTAGACGGTCTGCAGTCCTAGATCGCCCCATGCTGGCCCTTTGTGTCATGGTCAGCTCCTCTGCCCATGTCCTCAGGCCCTGGAGGTCGGCGTAGTGTATATTCTCTCTGTCCTCCCAGCTGTTGGCACATAGCTCAGTGACACAGTAGGTGCTCACCTGGGGTATTTGTTGAAATAAATCGATGGAGGCATTTGGAGGCAGGAGGCCAGAATCTCTTTCATCTCTGAGCATCCCAAGCTACGCTGTAGCAGCAACCCGAACTCTACATCCCTTCCACCCTACTCCCTACCCTGCTCAGTTCTGAAGAGCTTTTTCTGAGCACCGGATAGGTGCAAAGCTCAGGGAGCTGGAGACGAGCCTTCCAGAAGCTGTGCTTCTTAAGAGGAGGCCTTGGCAGCTCGGACGTGGGTATTTCAAGGCAGAGATGGTCACCTCGGATGGCTGGGCAAGGAGCAGGGAGGTGGCTGAGCAACGCCTGCTCGGGGTTGCAGAGGCAAGGGTGGAGGGGGCTGTGTGTGGAAACAAGCGTTCAGGCTGAGGCTGGGGTTCACTGTGGGGCCTGAAGGATGGGACAGCCTTTCTCTGGGCCTTGGGCTCCCAGTGCCCCAGGATGGGTGGGTTTTGGTATGGTGGGGCCCCTACCTCTGGTTGGCAGTGGTGGACTCCCTCTGGGAACCCCGAAGGTGGGGGTTGGGCATAGTGCCTGAGGTGCTGTCCCCGTGCTCAGGAGTTCCTGAGTGTCCTCTGCCGTCCCCCGGATGGTGATTGATGGCCCCAATGGGCACTTCTCTGCCCGAGCTGCTGCAGTTGCTGTGAAAATGTATTAATATTAATTGGGGCTAATTAGTTGGATAAATCAACCCGCCCCCAGAGAGCAGCTGCCCCTCCCTGGTTGGTAAGGAGGAAGCTGGGCTAATGGGGGTTGCTGTGGTGTGTCAGTGTGATGGAGATCGCTCCTGTGTGTGTGGGGAGGCCCCGTCAGGGCATGGGCCGAGGTTCCCTCGCAGCGAGTGGGGGGCCTGCTTGCGTGTGCCATCTGCTGGTGCCTCGTGTCATGGTAGGGCGAGTGGGTGTGTGCCTGTGTGTGTGTCATGTCACTGGTGGGAGTTTGTACTTCTGGATGGGTGTGGCAGGTGTGAGCCTGAAGGTTTGGTTGGATGTGTACATGTGTGGTTGTGTGTCAGGGCACAGCTGGTTCTGTGCGTGTCCGGCACCAGGCTGGTGAACATGTGGGTGTCTGGGGTCCAAGGGTATTGGGCTGGTACCTGGGGGCAGTGTGTGTGTTTGGTGGCCTGGAGGAGGCAAGGGAGCTTGAGTAAGTCATCCATGATATCTCCAGCCTCTCCTCGTGGCTTCAGACCGCTTGGCTCCAGCCCTGTTCTCCCCACAGCAAAGCCGTGCAGGTCTGTCCCAGGCCCCCTCCTAGTCAAGGTGCCTGCTCCAGCCCTGTGTCCCAGGGGAAGCAGAGGCTAAGACATCCTCCAACCCTCGCAGGTTCCAGGTAACACACCCTCTACTCTCCAGGGATAGACTCGTTATAAAGATAAATCTAACCTCTGACCCTGGTTAGTCTTAAAGATGTTCCCAGAAGCCAGCAGGTACTGTGATGGTTAAGCTAGACTACCACATGGCCAACTATGGTTCAAGTCCCGGATCTGGCGACTTGCTTTCTCGTTTTCCTTTTCTGTCTGTTTCTCTCTGGTGAGTACATGTGCCCTATAGCAAATTTTAAAAATAAATAAATAAATATATAAATGAAATAAGTAATCCTTAAAAAGAAAAACAAAAAGATGTTTCCAGGCCCACCCTAGTGGCATAGTCAGTAGCAAACTGAACGGCATTGTTGTTTGCTACATGGCCAACTGCAGGTTTGAATCCCCAGGTCAGTTTGAAGATACACAGGGTATGTGTGTGCGTGTCCAGAATTCTAAAGGGCTGCAGGGCTGGGGGAAGGGGACTGTGGCTTGACAAGACATCAGGGTGCTCCTCTCTCTCAGTCAGGTGTACATGCTGTCTATCATGAATAAAGTAAATCAACTTAAAGAAAAGAGGGGCCCATGGCCTACTGATTAAGGGGGCTGGATCCCACATGGCCGACTACGATCTGAATCCTAGACTTGGCAGCTTGAAAAACACGCCTGGCATGTGTGCCTCAGATCCTGACGGGATGGAGAAAGGAGAAGAAAATGTTCCCAATCTGGCCAGGTGTGGTGGAGGCGTTCTGTGACAGGAGGCCACTCAGTTGTGTGTGCCGAGGCCCAGTGCCTGTGGGGCTGTGAGATGCCACAGGAGGGAGTGACTTGTCTTGTCTGGAGAGGGTCAAGCAGGGAAGGCGTCACAGAGATGTGTTTGGGCTGATGTTTAGGAGTTTTCCAAAAGGAGACAGGAACAAGGAAGGCAGTGCCGGGGAGGGGAAAACTGAGACGTGCGTGCGTTTCTGTAGAACACACAGACAGGAATGTTTGCTGGACCCACTGGGGTAAATGGACCAGCTGCTCAAGGCTGGAGTCTGCTGGCCAAGAGGCTCCGGTCATCTCAGGCGGAACCCGGCCACCCTGAAGGTCGAGGTGGTTTATGACATTAAGCATACTTAACAACCACCTTGGAAATAGTAATAAGTCCACTTACTGAAAGCTTTAAAAAATAGATTTTTGGGGGGAGAGATTTTTGCTATAGGGCATGTGCACTTGCTGAAGAGACAGAGAAAGATGGAGAGAGTGAGAAATCACTGCCCCCCACCAGGGGAGTTGGCCAGGCCACAATCCCTTCTCCTCCATTCTCTTCTCAGGATCTTGGGCACGCACGCACACGCGCCTGGCACGAGTTTTAAGCCATCAAGTCTGGGACTTGAACCACAGTCAACCCTGTGGGAGTCCAGTGCCTTAACTACTATGCCACCTGCTGACCCAAAAATATATTTTCTTTGGGCCAGCCAGGTGGTGTGGAGGTTAAGGCACTGGATCCTACATGGTCGACTCTGTAGTCTGAGTACCGAAACTGGTGGTTTTAAAAACACGCCAGGCATGTGTGCATTGTGCCCAAAATCCTGATAGTAGAGGAACAGGAATTGTGGCAAGGTCATCCTCCTTGGGGGGTGCTTTCTCACTTTCTCTCTTTCTGGTGAGCTCACATTCTTTATAGCAAAAAAAAAAAAAGAAAAAAAAAATCTTTGTTTTTCAAACAATGATGGGAGGCGACTTCAGCTGAGTATGGAGAAAGGCAGGTGTCTGAGAGACCCAGCAAGAGGGGTGATTTGCTCCAAACTGTATCCTAAACTGATGTGGAAGTGCTAGAAGTCGAGATCCAGCCACATGGTGCAGAGGACACATGCTGGTCTGCAGTACTGGAAGCCACATGGAAGATCAGGGCCTGGTTCCCAGGTCTCTGCACAATCTGGGTGCATGCACATGTGCCCATGACCCTGGCTGCCTGGAAAGGCTGGAGAGAGGATCACAGTGTGAGACCCTGTTGAGAGTGCTTGTCTTTCTCTCGCTTATGAAATACATACATACATACATAAATAAATAAGTAACAAAAGGAAAAGTCTATTTTAAAATGTAAGAAAAAGTTATTTAAGTTGAGGCTCAATTTTTTTCATCAAATTATTCTAATAATTTGCAAATAATTTTTTTTTTAGAATTTGTTGTAGTTTTGGGGGACCAGCAGTTAGTGTAATGGCTATATTGCTGGACTCCCATGTAGTCGACCACAGTTCACATCCCGGACCAGGTGGCTTAAAACTCACACCAGGTGTGATAAATCACCCTTAGGGGGTTGGCCACACTGCAGTGCTTTCTCCTCTGTTTTCCTCTCTGGATTTTGGGCATGCGCACACACGTACCTGGCATGTTTTTCAAACTGCTGGGTCTGGGACTCGAGCCCTGCAGTAGATCATATAAGACCTAGCCACCTAGCCTCCATGCCAACTCCTGACCCTATATTCATAATTTTGTAGCTCTTCTAATACTAAGATTTTAATATAGTTAACTATCATCTGCCATCAGCTAGGTCATAAATGTTGCTATTAGAACAGCATAACAAATCACGTCATCCTCGTCAGAAGTTGTTTACTGGGGCAGTTAAGCATGCCTCTGGTGTTAGGCTTCCTGCATTTGAATTCTGACTCAGACACTTACATTTTACATAACTCCTCTGTGTCTTAACTTCCTCATCTCCACAGTGAGGTGATGATTGTAATTCTAGAACTTGAACGAATGAATTAAGTGTCCACGGTGGCGCCTGGTACACGGCAGGCATCGTCTAAGTGATCGTCCCCACTTGAGTAGTAAAGTCCATGCTGTCCGCGAGGAGTAGTGGATGTTTGGGTGAGTTTCAATGAATTTGGACTAGAAGCTGGAAATGACATTCAACAGGGTTGACAAGACTTTTTTGGACCTTTGAAATTGGTTACCCAGGCTGCTGGAGTTCCTGCCCTGCTGGCAGAGAGGGACAGTCCCAGAAGACACCTGTGCTCGTCCCCATTCATACCCGCCCTGCTCTCTTCCCCACCTCTACCCAACACCATGCCCAAATCCTACATTCCCATGAGTGACCATGCCCGGACAACTGCAGGGGAGCCCTAGCCTCAGAGGTCCTCATGGCTACACTGGGCACTTGCCCACAGCAGGTGGTGGTGGAGTGGGTGCTGACAGCAGCAGTGTGTGTGAGAAGAGGCAAGGAAGAGGAGGCCAGTGAGACAGGCTCACTGCCGTAAAGAGCCTACTGCAATGCCTGGCACCCGGGGATGCTTTGTCAAAAAGCTCCCCATGCCAAGAGGGTTGAGGTATTGGGCTTAAATCCAGCCTCCCCGACTTTGATGACCTCGGGCAAGAGTGTTAAGCTCTCTGTGACTCGGTGCCTTCACTGGGGAAATGAAAATGGTAATAAGAGCACTTAGCTGGCCAGCCACGGCAGTGCAGGGGTAGTGTAATGCTTTGCCATGCTGACGTCACGTGGGCACATGGGCAGGTCCCAGGTTTGCATCCTGAGGTCCCCTGTACACACCGGGCATCTGGCTGAGGCTGGGGGTGGATTGAAGCATGAAAACTCTGTCAGAGGTATTCCAGCCACACCCCTCTCTGAAGAAAGAAAGCAGCACACATGCGTACGTGCACGTCAAAGTGTACAGAGGGCCAGCAGGGGGCGTGGAGACTCAGGCCTGGACTCCCACATGGTTGCTGAGCAGGTCGAATCGCAGACCCAGTGGCTTGAAGATCACGCCAGTGCGTGTGCGCGTGCACGCGTGTGTGTACCCACCAAAGTCCCAGGAGGAGAATGGAGGAGAAGGGATTACGACCACCTTCCCTGGCGGGGAGGACTTCTCACTTCCTCCCTCTCTCTCCCTTTGGTGAGACACTTAGTCACTGTTTTCTCCTGAGGACTTAATGGAACAGTGCAGGCAAAGGGCCTGGCACGGCCGAGCGCTCCCCAGCCAGTGCTCGCCAGTCCTCCAGGCACAGATGTGTATCTAAGTGTGAACACATGATGCACGTTTACAGTAAAAGCTTTGTTTTTGTTTGTTTTCATTTCGCCACAGGGTGCATGTGCTCGCCAGAGAGGAACCGCGAGATAGAGAGAAGTAGGGAAAATGGGGTCAGCCGGTGGTGTAGTACTTAAGATGCTAGATGCTCATGCAGTCAACCAAGGTTCAAGTCCTGGACCCATGCCCAAAATCCCAAGAGGAGAATGGCTGGAAAGGGATTGTGGCATGGGACCCCCCCACCCTGGGGCGGGGGTGCAATTTCTTGCTTTCTGTTTCTTTTGTTTCTCTAGCAGGTACACACGCCCTATAGCAAAAACAAAACAAAACGAAACAAACAAATAAAAAAAAACTCTCTTAAAAAAAAGAGAGCGTGGGTAGAGAAATAGAGAAACCACCCTCCACACCCTCCAGTGGGGATGACCATGCCACAGTCCCTTCTCCCCCATTCTCCTCTTGTTATTTTGGGCACGCACACACACACACACACACACACACACACACGTGTGCCTGGTATATTTTTCAAGCTGGGACTCAAAGGTGGGATCCAGCCACCTTAACCACCACACCACTGGCTAGTCCTGAAGTCGACGCTTTGTAACCACACTGATGAGAACAGTGCTGCCACCTTATTCTGAGGGCAATGGGGACCTACAATCAGATTTAGATTTTGTGAGATCTTAAAAGGATGGCCCAGGCTGTAACGAAGAGAGTGAGTTAGAGGCAGGGAGGCCAGGGAGGCCAGAGAAGAGGCCTAAGACAGAGCCAGAGAAGGCTCTAGGCAGGGGTGAGGTGAGGGGGGTGTCAGAGGTGGGAGGTGTGCCTGCAGCAGAAGCAGCCACAGGTGGTGCGTGAGGTCAGGCGTGTGGTCACTGCAGCCGACCGCCTGGGTTTGATCCAGGCTCTGCCACTTTATAGTGATGTGTCCTTGAGCAAATAACTCCCTGTGCCCACAGATTTCTTCTGCTGTAACATGAGAACATAATCCAACCTACTTCCGAGGGTGTTGCAAGGAGTAATAGGAAGTATTAAGTGCTAAGTGCTTGGCATGGGCCTGGCTTGTATTCAGTGTTCCAACACACCCTACGTGTGATTAGGCGTTAGCGCTATGACTACTGTCAGAACTCGGATGTGAGCGAGAGGTCCAGGGTGACTCTGAGGCTTGTTGCTTTGGTGCCGTGAGTGTCATTAATTGGGAATTTCAAGAAGAGATTTGTCGGGACCAGCAGTTGGAGTAATGACTATGTCGCTGGACTCCCATGTAGTCAGTCGTAGTTCAAGTCCCAGACCCGGTGGCTTAAACTCACGCCGGATGCGTGTACATGCGTGCCCAAGATCCCGAGAGGAGAATGGAGAAGAGATTGCAGCATGGCCATGCCCCCTGGGGGGTGATTTCTCTATTTCTATCTCTCTGTCTCTCTGATGAGCACACGCACCCTATAACAAAAACCTCTCAAAAAAAAAAAAAAAAAAAAAAAATTTTT